CACACACACACACACATACACACACACAAACACACACACACACACACACACACGCGCGCGCGCGTGCGCGCATACACACACACTCACTCACTGGTCACTTAATTCAATGCCCACTTTCTCAGCAGTTCATTACTTTATCTATAATCCATCAACGAATCCCGCCCGCATAACAATAATAATATTATTCGATAGATCAACTACCGCGAACACCCATTGTTCATTATACTCATTATATTGTCGACTGACTCCTCAAACAAACAAACACACGCTCTCAGAGACGAACAATAAGCCCGCCCAACTGGATCAAAGCGGCGCGAGATCTGACATCAACAAACACTCTACAGGTAACTCAAAACCAACAAACACTCTACAGGTAACTCAAAACCAATAAACAATTTACTCGTTACATAAAACCATTGAACATTTTATTCGTTACATAAAACCAATTAACAATTTACTCGTTACATAAAACCAATAAACAATTTACTCGTTACATAAAACTAATAAACAATTTACTCGTTACATAAAATCAAACTCCGTCCGCCTGTGTGTTTCCGTGGCCCCAACAGCGATCTCTCGTGCTTTGCTGTCACCGTGAGTCGTTTTTGTTGCTGTCACCGTGAGTCGTTTTTGCTTTTTTTGCCGCCATAGCCTGGCCTCTATCGACCTATGGCTCTCTACCTTCAACAATCAAACAAACAATCAAACAAACAATCAAACAAACAAACAAACAGACAAACGAACAAAGCCCACAACTATCAAGCACTCCCTCTCTCATTTCCTTCCTCCCCCCTAAAATCATAATATGGAAAAAACAACAACACTCCCCCCCCCCAAAAAAAAATAAAAAAATTTAAAAAGACAAAACAAGCAACAAACAAACAAACAAACAAGCAAAAAAAAAAGAAGAAAAAACAACACAACCCCCCCTCCAAACCCCCCCACAAAAACAACCAACAACAAAAAACCAATAAAACAAACGGCCGAGCTTACATTCTGAGTACACATGATGAGCCAAACGGCATCATAATGATATTAATCAATTCAAACAACGACCAGGTCTGTGAAACATGACTAGCTAATTTAGTAGCTTTCCAGGCTGTCTTTGAAGTTTTATTGACTTTGTGACGCGATTGACTATGTTCAGGTAATATTCTGGGAAGCCTTTCAAGGGTCGTTGCAAAGCAAGGAGCTTGGAACTAGCTGTAACCTCCTTGTGGCAAAGCTACACCCAAGCGTTTAGTTCCGAGAGAAGTGGGAAGGAATAATTTGACCTGTTTTGTACCTTGTGGCTTGTAGAAGTTAAAAAGCTTTTGGTTTTATTTTTATTAATTTTTTTTATTTTGTCGCTTTAGTTTTTTAGTTTTTTTTCTCTCTCCTACCCTCCCCCTC